CCAAAGGTATCAGAACCAAGACGTCACACGAAATATAATCGCGCAACCTTACAGCTGAACTGATTTTGCCGTTTAGAAATAATTAAAAAAAAACTGAATTTTCAGTGAACTACACGTTTCCACGTCTCTCACGCGTTAACAGGAGGCTTCTCAAGTCCAGTGACCAAGTGAGTCACTCTTCATTCTCAGAAAACTTGGGCTGTGTTCTCTCTGCCTAAAACATCGGTTTCCGCTGACAAAAACCCCAGCATTCTCTTTTCTAAAAATGTGGGTGCAGCTTCGAAGTCCCAAGCTGTTTTGGCTGTGCTCCCCGGTCAGTTTATTCTTTGCTGTCGAATGTTACTGTTTAAACTGACAGCAGGTTTGATGCTACATTTGATCTGTTCCAATGAACTGCTCCCATTGCACCCCTCGTGTTTCTTCTTCTCGCATCAGCTAGTGCGAAGTGAAAGAAGCCATATAGCTGGTTGGTCCAGCCAGCATCTTTCACAGCCCTGTCAAGGATGAGCATGGGCGAGGTCTCAATAGAGCTTTTTCGCTTTTTCTGTGTTTGCGGGGCGGACGTTTGTATTGGCAGAAACATCGACAAGAAAGAGGCGAGACGGTCCTACATCGCTTGAGACTCAATGTGGCATACACCAACAGCTACCTTCATAAAATCGGTAGAACGGAGTCGTCTGGTTGTGCTTTGTGCGGAGTCACACATACGATCGAACATGTATTGTGTGAATGCAAGGACTACAGCCATGAAAGAGAGCTTATGAAGACAGACCTGAGGCTACAAAGTGAACAAGACGTAAGCATTCGTACTCTGCTTGGTCCATGGATCTCTGCTGCTGAGGGGTATAAAGCCACGAAAGCTCTGCTGAAATTTCTAAAAGCTACTCGCTTACAGAAGAAACTGTAGGGGAGTAGATGAACAGCAATGGCCGATGATATTTTCCAACGAAACCCTTTTCGTGTCTTTTTTATTAATCCTTTAATACTTTGGTTTTGTGAGTTTTCTCCCTCTATCTTTTTTTGTTTGCCTTTCTCTCTTCTATTTTTATGATTTTCGCTTCCGTTCATTTCACAATGTAGCAAACGAGCACGCTCACATAATTGTTTAATAAACGCCTACCTCCCACGACAAAAAAAGAAAAAAACCGGTTTCGTGTAACACCACAAAAAAAAAACTTTTTCTTTGGGGGGGGGGGGGGGGGGAGGAAGAAGGGTAGATAGAGGGGGGGGGAGAGGGAAGGGGGGGGGGACTTATGCACCGCGGTCACTGTGTCCACGGTCTCACTCGACACGAACCCCGCGCGACGGTTTCATGGTCCATTCGTTTTCTGCTCTTGTACGCTCGAAGCATGCAGTCTGTTCGTTTTCCAAGAAGTGGAACACTGCTGCCTTCATGTAGGCAGTCAAATCCTCCCAGCCTGGCTGACCGCGCACGAACAAGTCCAGAAACGGACTCTGGCTGGGCTGTCGTGCTTTTCATAAATTCCTTCCCTCCCCCACACCAGCGTTTTTTATTTTTTTTTGTCTTCTTTTTTGTACGTGCGTTTTGTGTTAAGGCTTGTTTACATACCTGTAACCGAGTACGACCGAGAGAGACAAGACCGGTATTTAGGCCTTTTACGGCGTCCTAGGACCAGCTCCACAGCATCGCATCCGGTCCTAAAACGTCGCAAGAGGCTTAAAAACCGGTCTGGTCTCTCTCGGTCGTACTTGGTTACAAATGTGTGAACGAGCCTTTAGAATGCTAAAAGCGCGAAGGCCGTTGCATCGCCCTTCTTCCACTCTATTTCTCCCTTTGAGGGGGCGGAAGAGTTGTAACGATAATTCCAGTAATTCGTTAATGCAAAAGTAAGGAGATTACATTAAAAATTACATTGTCAGAAAAGTAACGGGTGAAATGCTAAATTACAAAAAAGTAATTAATTACAAGTAATCCTGTTACTTGTAACGGATTCCTTCCAAATCTGCCGGGTACGCAAACGAGGGTTCGAGCAAGAGGGGAGTCCCTCCCAGACTTGGGAAGTAATTCGTTACAAGTAGCGAATTCCTTGTAATTCGTTACATTTTCAAGCGATTTTGTAATCGCAACGTTACTTTCCTTCGGAAGTAATTTGTAATTTAATTTCATTACAGAAAATCGCTAACATATTACTTTAATTACTCGTTACTTTTTTTAAAATAATGAGCATAATACAGTAACTGGAGCAATACGAGCAGAACATTCAGCAGAATAAGGAGAGCAAGTTCAAAAATTAAATTAGATAATATCAAGAAGGGGAGAATAGCCGAAACGAAAACAAGATTTTGTGTATGACCGGTCACTAGTCGGCTCGAAAAACGGACAAGGCATGTACAAATACTTCACACTCCAGGCAGGCCACAATAACATCCTCCAGGAAGTTAGAGACTTGAAAATAAAACAAAGCGGCACCGAAGAATCACTAAATGCGCTCACAATACGGGTCAACCAGTTAGAAAATGACCTTTCCGCTACAAAATCAACCGGCGTAAACAGCTGCGCTAGTTCTGCTCACTTGATGGAGTCTGCCGCTGCCGAGATATCTCAGCTACACTCTTAGTTAGATCCTGGCTAAAATGCACGCATATAGGCAGGAAAGCGGGGCAAAATTTCGCCGCTTACAAGCAGTTGGTTTAGGTGTCTCAACTTATGCGGCCCGTTGTTATGAGGCCCAGATTCAAGCGGCTCGTTTTCACGCGGATCAGGTATGCGGCCTAAATTTACCAGGCCCTTTGTCATGCGTGACAATCATGCGGTATTTGAGATCAAAATTTTCCTGGCTATAAGCGGCCTACGATTATGCGGCCTAAAATTTAAACTGCGGCAAAATTATGCTACAACGCCATTTTTGCGCCATTCTCCGCATGCTTGGGGGCATAGACAGCCGGCATGATACTCCAACTAGTTGTTTCTGGATCTGGAACACAAGTTTCAGCAACACAACATACGTCACATGAGGGGAATCGAACCCGCGCCCGCGAAGTGAAAATCAGACACCATAGCTGCTACGCCACAACCGCACACATACAGTGCTCGCGTTGTCGTATGCTTATATACACAAGAATTGCTTGCTAAACTCGTCGACCGATGGGGGAATTTTATACATTGGTTTGACAAGTGCCTATCAATGGGAGACATCTTGCACGAGTGGTGTTGCGAAAAAGCATTATAGGGAGTATTCACTGGCGGCCATATCGGTGTGCGCGAATGCTGAGCGCGTGCTGACTGCGAGCTTCCGCAGTTCTTTTGCAACGTGCATTCCGCACCATCAAGAGTGCCGGTCTTAGCAGCCTATTGATATGAGCTCGTTCTGAGCATGCGCTCTAAACAGCACCCACAAATATGGCGTCCAGTGAATACTCCCTATAACAGTAACCAGACATTGAAAGAGTGACAAAAGCATAGTCTCGCAAAATATAAACCGTTTCTGGCACGCTAAAAGAAACAATCGCGGAATCGGAACGTAACCCAACGCACAAACCACCTTGTTCTGCAGGCTATTCGGATAACTGTAGATATATAATTGGTTGTGCACGGGCGCCCTTCCCTTGGCGAGCGACACAAGGACGTTTTCGCCGTATACCTTTGTTGATGCTCCAGAAACGTATATGGTATATTCCCAGCCTTCAAAATGTGAGCTTATTAAATACCCGAGTGTAACATGCTATAGAGCCAAATAACTAGCGCCCTTGAGTATGCGATGTAGCGTTAGGCACATGCAGGATTATCGGGAACGTGATTTTTCAATTTCTGCTAACAGCATCAATGAGTTTCATTAAAAAGTGTCAGGAATTATGCATTACACTCTAAAAAAAGCCCGTGCCTCTACTTTCCCGCACAACACTGGAAGAGCCAATCAACTTACGGAGGCAGCTCAGCGAATGACGATGCCGAAACATGTGTTGACACCAAAGGAGGCAGTCCGAGTTGTGACATTAAGCAATGCAAGCGTGACATTTTGCATTGCTTAATGTCACAACTCAGACTGCGTTTTTTTGGTCTAAACATATGTTTCGGCATTGTCACTCGCTGAGCAGCCTCCGTAAGTTGTGGTGATTGGCTCTCCGAGGGTGTTGTGCGTGAAAGTAGACGCACAAACTTTTTTAGTGTGTATTAGCTTCCATTACACACAAAAAAAGAACAGCTGATTTCAAGACAAAATTGTTTTCCTCTAAGCGGCACGCCCACCATATTCATTTTTTTCTTTAAAGCGCAATAAAGTATTTGCTGAATTGAAGCTTTGGTTTGGGCTAGTTGGTTCATTAAGATCTAAAAAAATAAAAAGAGCAAAAAAAAAAGTAAGGACGAGACACGCACAACACGGACTGGCACTAACTTTCAACTGATTTAATAAAGTCAGTCAAACCCAGCGCGCATCTGTGAAGTCTTGTCTATCACGTCAACCTTTCTTGATAAATGCATCCCATACAGAATAGACTATCGCGCTGGGTTTGACAGGCTTGATTAAATCCGTTGAAAGTTAGCACCAGTTCGTGGTATATGTCTCTTCTTCGTCATTTTTTTTTTTTTTTTGCTTTTAAGTTGCTTATAGCAGTAAAGTATTAAGTTAAGTAATTGTTAGCACAGCCCACACAGTCTGTTGAAGGGTGTATAATCCATTTATTGAAATTCAAACGAGCGAACACATTAAGAACTCACACTACTATCACAGTTAGCCCTTTTTCGCTGTACGAAGCATCGAATAGCTGTACCCAAGCACTTTTCAACAAAGAATACAGTGAGATCAAGATTCTGCATTCCTAAGAATATTTATTACTGTTAAACAAAGTACTTATTACTTTTTTTACTGAAATAAATGTGACCGAATGTAGGTAAGTTATGCAAGTCACACAAACTGTATTACAGTATTAAATTAAAAAAAAAGAGATCAGGAGCTGCTGTATTCAGTTTCTTACTGGAAAATATCACAGCATCACTATCTGCGTTTTGCGCTAGCGTTCAGCAATGCGAACACATCTACTTGTGCCCATTACTGTATAATAAATACCAACATAGCAACATGTTATCATATACCACTGGGATCCGCAAAGAATGGCACAAGCATTTGATTTGTACGTCATCAGGCTGTTACATTAATCGTGCATTTGCAAAAAAAACTACTCTTTTTTATGCACTTGCGTTGTAAGATGAACGAGTACTTTCTTACGTTAAAGCCAGGTATAATCTTCCTCTGTGAAATAACACCTGCAGTGACTTTGCCGCAGTAAACATATGTACGTTTACGTAACCTTCATGCTCTCGAGAATCTTTACGAGCTTGCTGTTAGCCCAGCAGCGGGGAAATTTTTCACCATTGCTTATCGCACTTTGCACGAGCCCCAACGTTTGCGCAAATGCCGAGGGGTATGTTATGTCCTTGACATAATACACCGTTAGGCAAAGGAGTAGAGCCTTCTCCAAAGTAGCGTCATTTAGCTTGATGATTTCGCCAGGCCCTCCACAAGAGACGATTTTTGTCGATATGCCCCAGAAGATCCTTGGGCCAGGAGATGCTGTGTCCTCAGCGGAGACGTCGCTCTGAAAAGGTGTTTCCTTTTTCAGAAAAAATGCTACACATTATACATATATAACATTGTACAACACTTTCCCCGGACACCTATTTAGGTTTCACTGGTACGCCTGTACAATGGTTTTGTAGTGCAGTTCCAAAAAAAATTAACTTAAGCTGTCTGTGCCCTTGGCCTGTCTAGCTAGTTCCCAGTGCTAAGATGGTGAAAGCATCCAAAAAACCAAGGAATTTGCAGAAAAAATTCACAGCTGCTTTATACAAATCAAGTGGAACCTTTTAAACTACATAAATAATAGCCAATGACAACAAATCTTTTGATTTGTTTGCACAAATATCTCGCTCACCAACCAGCTTACCAATGTTATGAGTGCACATTTAGCATGTCTTCCCCTAAGGTAATCGTCGATCTCGGCAAAGTCCATCTGCCGGTTGCAGATAGTAGATACCAGTTGCTTAACCTTCGATAGTCTCTGCAACAGATTAGCCACGTTGTCGCCAAACCTTAGCTCTGTCTCTAGAGTCATCTGCAATTAGAAAGTACATTGTGTGAATCAGTGCAACACCGTTTGGAACAGCATGCACTATTATCCAAGATACTCACAATATCTTCATTAAGAAAGTAGCACGGCAGACAAGCCACAGGACTGGTTTTGCGTTCCCCGAGCGTGGCATGCAGCAGCAAAAACAGCCTTTCTTTGTTGAATGGACCAGCTGGACCAAGAGCTTTACTAAGTGCCTAAAGAAATAAATTATTATTAGTGTTCTTTCCACCTTTCCAGAAAATAAGTGTCTCGAGACTCACAAGTGTCTTTTAACTACTTGCAGTTAAGGCTACTGCTTAGTGTGCTTCTATGCCGTGTGGCCAGGAAAAGAACGCCTGACATAAAGCTACAGATACATGGGCCGATGTAGTGAGTTGCACCACAAGTGTCATAGAACATGCTGCTTTACGCCTACACTTTTTCACAGTGGGGAGTAAGCATATCGAGTGTAGCTACATGATGTGTACAGTTTTCAATACGCAACTTACTGTCAGCTCGTTTGATGCAGATTCAGCATCCAGTTCTGGTGGCACAACTGCATTCTGAACCACAGGAGTCTTAGCAGCCTCTCTAGCTGCCCACCTGTGAGCCCTGTGCCGTCTTGCCTCAGACAGCTTGGTCATGAACACTCTGAAAATTTTATAAAAGGAAATTGCATAAATCACCATAATAATCATTTAACAGAGTGTGAGTTGGCTGGCTTAAATAGCAAGATCCATTGAATGAACACTTTAAGGAAAAGTATATTGAATGAAACAACAATTTATAATTCAGGACTTAAATCTATAGGCCATTTTAAGGAAATGTTTGATTCCAGTGAATTACTTCAATGTAGACTATTTTGTGGCACAATAATATTTGTTTTGTGGAACCAGCTGAACTTAACAGAAATATAGAGCGATTGGGTGTCTTTTCTCCTATATCTATATTTCTGTAAGCTCCCAGCTGGTTCCACAAAATTAAATACGTACAGCCAACTAGCTCAGGTGATTCCCCTCGCAAATATATACCTCGCTAGTGGAGCACATTGAAAGGTATCATGAAAGGGTGTCCATAAAACGGTGGAACAGGGAAAGGGGAAGCTTGTGACTCTTGCTTACATCTTGGTATGTGAATCGAGCATACCACAATTCGCTCCACAGAATGTCACGGGCGTCACGAGTGCCAATCACTTGGCTGTGATTTGGGGCTCCTCTTCCATGCAGACAGGAAGGTAGGCATTGAACGCAGCGCTGCTTCATTAGGGGCAGGGCGCATCACGTCATATGGGGCAAAACCGCCATATGCTGAAAAAACTGAACGCCGACCCATTGCGCTAGAGTTACAAGCTTTTTTTTTTTTTTTTCATGCCTGATGCTATTATTTCAGGGTTCCTTAACACCTTTGAATATTGTTCATTTGGAAACTGCTATTGAAGTTACCTTCGGGGACTTAGTACGCCCTTTCTTGTCTTTTCGGGCCTCCTCCCAGAGCATGTTTGGGTGAGTTGATGCGAGTGACTCTCCTAATGCAAAGTACTTCCATCGCCGCATGGCACAATTCCCATCTTGAATTAGTTTATTCTCGCTGAAAAATAATTGAGACAGAAGCCTTATTAGCATAACACTCCACCTCATTCTCCTGGCCAGGAGCAATACGATTCTGCCATCTTCTCGGTGAGGACCAATAGGAATAGAAGATATAGGAAAGGACGGTGTTCTATATCCAAAAGCTATGAATTGGCTTTAAGAGATGTCCAAGATGACTGGATTGATTTTGACCTCCTGGTGACAATTATTCAAACTTTAACACAAAGGGATATTTGAGTTTTGCTGCCATCAGTATAGAATACACTGTACATCCCCTCTGAATGTTGCCAATGCAAACATCGAGGCAAAGAAAGAAAGCTAGCACAAAACAAATGCTTGAAATTCCACTGCTATACAGGGCATGTGAAGCTGTACAGTAAAATAAACAAGCCCTCTTTGAAATAAGTAAAGAGTCTTTTGCAATAGAACTCGTGAAGTGGAATAAATAAGCATAGAACAGAACAAGCTGAGCCATATTTTTGGTATATTCCGTAAAATACTGAGCAAATGCCCACTCAAAATTTGAAGATAATCACGAAAAAAAGGGGAAGGGCACATGTGAAGTTATCAATTTTATATATATATATGTACTGTGCATATTTTTTTCATGTGTTTAATAATTTGGGGGTAGGCACTTAGTGCGGATGCACGGTATTCTACGGTTGGTAAGAGCAGAGCATCCTTATATGGTGAGCTGTACCGCATTCTGCCTTACTGTTCATTAACAGTCTTCGTAAACGGCGCCACTTCTAAAAATAAATTTATCTTCCAAACTGGCAGATCTGCTTGAATATATTAACAGCGCTTACTATTTTTTAATAAGGATATAATCATGTTTAATTTTAATACTTACTTAAGAAAATGAATGAGCTCGTGGCGGAGCTGCTTGGAGTGTTGACGGTGGTCTTTTTTGCTGATATCCAATCCTTTCAGTAATGGCTGAACCACTGATGAGAGCTGGGGCAGCAGATTATCAGAAGACCAGTGCATACTTGGAAGAGTTCTCTATATGAAGAAACAAAATATGAAAGTCCTAATTGTCAATTTATGTACAATAAAGATATAAGGTTTAAAAAAGAACAGCATTTCACCAGTACCTTATTGTGCGTTGCTAAAAAACCGAAGTGACTTAAGACAGACGGTAATGATGCAAATTTATTATAAAACCATGTAGACATGTGATAAAGAGACATGTCACAACAGGAGGACCAGTACCAACTAACAGCCTAACACAATTAGGTATTCTCTGACAACAGCCTGCTTTTAAAACTTGCCTGCATAAAACATACTGCATTTTTCTTTTTCATCTTCAAGAAACAAATTAGGGACATACAATAGTGCATTCACGAGAACAACAAGCATACATGTGATTTGCATGTGAAAGCATCCTACGCAGGTCATCGCACAATAATACCGCTATGTACAAGTAATTGCTTAAATACACACCCTAAGTTCTCTTTTGTGAACTGGTAATGGAGGGGTACCTTTTCTTACTAAACCATCGGTAAGTAGGAAGACCAGTTACCACACTGCTTCTATGTGGGAGCAAGATGAAATACATTGAGGAATGTGATAAACGCTTCCTTCTTTGCAGTACCAAAACACAGGCCACGGAAGAAGCAAACTTTCGGCTGTAAATATGGTCTCATGAAGAGTGTCACTTCCAACAAAAACATTTGCCCTTTCCATATAGGAAGTTGTGGTCTGGAGCTGGCACTTCAAGAAGACCTGACCTTCAAACGAAACTATGTCGCGTATCTTGCAAAAGCAGGGTGCTTCACTGGCAGCTCCAATGACAACAACATCGTCTACCCTAAGTAACACATTTTTAACAAGGACCTTTGGCATAGCAAGAGCAGTCTTCCCTATGCCACATTCAGGCAGTCCAGCACTACAAAAGCTTTGAGTAAGAGTATAAGGCACACCAGCAATCGAAGGTAGCTTTGTAGTCGCATGTCCAGTTTTCGGACTCCCATCAGAATTCCAAAGAGCGTGAGACATGTTAGTTTGGAGAAATTCACTGACCGAAAATGGTATGTTCTTAAAATTAAACATCTTTTTCGATTTTGGAACAGCATTTTTGGCCTCCATACGCATGGTCCAGTGATGCCGCCCCGGTCCATGAGTTTTTATCTGTTCAACCACGTGAAGCAACATGTGGAGCTTAGGAAAGACTGCACTTTTCCCATAACACACAACAAATGTTTCGTGGTGGTTGGCAACCAATTCTTCAAGGTCTCCAACTGCCTCTGCAGTCAAAACTGTTGACAAAATCAATTGTGTAATCTGGGCTAACCGAACTAGACTTTTTAGAAGTGGAGAATTTTCAGGGAGGTAGCCCTCAAGGATCAAAGGGATGTGAAGGATCAACACAAGGGATGCACTTGCTGAAGAAACCACTTTTAAATCAGATTCGAACAGTCTTGGCTTGTCGCTTCTACTGACTGCACGATGAAACTTAAAATTGGAGATTGCGTCGTTCAATTCCTTGAGTGAAAACCAATGCCTTTCCCTCACTGCAATGTTAAGAAAAAGAGAAATTTCTTTCGGTATAATACCTTCCAGCAGTATGTGCATCGGATCATACAAAATGTCTTTGGTCAAGAGAAAAAAAGGAAACAAGGTCAGAATGGACTCTCCATTGATGCCAAATTCCTTTGAAAGCTGTTTTCGCTCTGCAACACAAGTACTCTCTTTAAGCCTCTGCACCTGTGCCTTGACATCACTCTCTGACCTAAGAACACATTGTCCATGGTGAGTGTACTGTACATAGTCTGCTGTTGGTACAAGACAAGTACGGCATGAGCGGAACACTGTTGGGCCAAACGATTCTTTAAAACCTGCCAAAGAGTGAGTAGCAAGAGCGTCTCCTGTGAAGGTCATTACAGCACCAAAAAACCTTTCTGGTCCTTTGTCTGTGTCAAAAACTAACCCTTCATCGGCCAGCGCTCTCAACACTTCTATGAAATCTTCAAAAAACTTCAGCCGTGCATCATACTTCTTCAAATTTGCTGTGTGACCAGTTCCCAACAAGAAGATATTACTCAGCTTGGAGCGTTCATGAGGAGGCAAGTTCAACAGTGTCACATAAAAAATACCAAGTTTACCTAGGTTACCTCTCTTTGTGCCGATAGGGTTTGCAAGTTCAATATCATCGTAGTATAAATTCAGTAAGATGATATTTTTCTGATGCTTTTCAAAAATGGGATGTGAATGAAACCTCGCTCCATCCCAAAAATCCCCCAAGACAGAATCATTTTGAGGTCTGCATGGATTTCTCACATAGGCAACAATCTCTGGATGACTCAAAAGGTTTTGAAGAAGATCTGATAGCTTTATAATACAGGCTTTAGCATTACCTAGCAGCTTCACTTGAGTAGGAGGCACAAAGACACCTGTATTTTGATAGTGCTGCTTTCGAAGGCGGTCAGTTTTTATGTGTTCGGTGTTAATAGGCACTCCAGCTGTCGCGAACATTTCATGAACTCCCTCAACAACAATGTCGATGACTGTCTTGTGACACCTGTGCTGTCCTTCCAGGCACCTGCACAGACTTGACAGCCTATCAACTATAGTAGAACTTTGTGTGGCATCCTGCCCTTCAGGACAACTAAGTTCTAAAAGATTTCCATCATCCATTTCGTTGCTGCAGTTAGCACTCGAGAAAGCTGAAGTTTTCTTTTTGCATATCTTGAAATGTTCTTTGTAATGCTTCAAAAATGCAAATGTGCAGCTGCACTTACTACACACAAAGACACTACTAGTGCCACGATGAAAAGTCGTCATGTGTGTGGCAAATGAAGTGTACGCTTCACAAAAAAAGTTACATTGAGAGCATACATGCTGTCCTTCCAAGCTGGCTGGCGTCCTGGTCCCGTCTGCAGAGTCACTTCGGCTCTGAGCGGCTTCCATGTTTGCAGTGTCAATTGGGCTCAGGGTGACTTCCATGTTATCGTCCCCATCGGTTGTTTCCACTGTATGATCTTCAGCATTGTTGACAGAGGCACAAAACAAGAACAGCAGTGTTAAACATGTCAGCAAACTGGCCAAGCCTG